CAGATGGGATAAGGATATGCTTTGTTGTTGGGGTTGATGCAGGATGTTGAAGGGATGTTGCAATGGGAACAGTATAAAAATGTGCAGTGGAGTGGGAGAATTCTTGAAAAGTGCCATGAATAAAGATTGAGCAAAATTATGCTAAGGACAATGAACAAATCAGTGTACTCAAACAATGGAATCAATCATCTTGACTCGGCCCTGGTTTGCCAGCAAGCATGAGACTGGAATAAGGCTCAGGACTGGGAGGCAAGGTAGATTGGAGAACAATTGCACAGACTATCTATGCCAGTGGTATACATGAATTTGAACCCACAATTCATTCCCAATGCAGAACCTGGCTGTGTCCTCTGTGTCTAGCATTGGGTAGGTGGGAATTGATCTGCCATCCCAAAAAGCTGAAGATACCTCTGTGTAAAGGCAATTGGTCATTTTCTTATTTGAAGTGAGAAACATTGCCTATGAGGAAATGAATTACCTCAGGCTACATCATGAGCCATTTCTGTGCTTTTCCGACCAAATTGAAAACCATGGATATGGAAAATAAACATTCAAAAACAACAACAGGAACATTTAATTTGGAAACAGATGTGCATTTGATTGAAAACTTTTTCACCAAGTACCATGCCTAGCTGGCCAAGAATCAGATGAATGTCCTCACTTTTGCTCTACCTACCTAAATCCAAGGGAGGGAGGTATCTTCCAGGATCTCAACAAAAAAGTTTGATCATTTGCACTTTGCAAAGTATATATAGGCTGTTGCTATTTGCAGCCCACAAGAAAACCATGTAGGCGCTGGCCAAATTATGCCTACATGGGTGTTTCCCACGAAGAAGCGCCTACATTTATGATGTAGGCGCTGGAAACCATCCAAAATGACGCCTACATGTCAAAAAACCCATGTAGGCGTCATTTGGTTACGCCTACATTCAAAAAATGAAATGTAGGCGTAATTTTCAAGCACCTACATATCTCATTTGAAATGTAGGCGCTATTTTTGAGCGCCTACATTCAATTTTCAGCTCAAATAAGTGCCTACATGCAGTCCTGCATATGTAGGCGCTACAAATCCGGCAACTACAACTCCAGACTGGTCTGAAGGGTAATGAAGAACAATTTTCAAGTCAAAATGAGAGTATTGGAAGACGGAAAAAGCAGTTTGGACTCAAAATGAGTGTATTGGAAGACAGCTCAAGCAGTTTGGAGTTGAAATCAGTGTATCGGAAGACGGAAAAGTAACTCCGGAGTCAAAATAAGTGTATCAGAAGACGGAAAAAGTAGTAAATTATTTCAACTCTGAACTCAGTTCAGGCGTCAAAAGGAGTGTATCAGAAGCGAAAAAGAA